TTTGAATCCCGCTTTGAATCCCGCGAGTCCATTACCCATAATGCACCCGATATAGTTATATACTATATACTTGGTTGGATCAGAATTTCTGCATATCGCTGTAATAGAATGAGAAGAGTTATTAATTAATTTTTGATTAATAAGACTAGCCGGATGCGATGGCTCAGCGACTGCGGAGGGAACTATGCAGGGTGGCTATATACCCCCCACCAATAATTTTGCTGCCATACTTTGAATTGCTTGTTTGTTATTTAAAATATCAATAGCCAATGTAAATGCACCCCACTCACTAGAAATCGTACTTCCAAGGGTCTCAGTTTAAAATGTTTTCGTGGGTTTCCGCCTTCGGCGGTCGTTAGGCCACGATCAAAACTACCCTCCGCGGTCCCTGTGGCTACCAGTTCAACGACCGAAAGGTCATAATGTTAAAAAGGGAATCTCTCTTTCTGAAAAAATGCAACCTACTTGCTGTTGTATGAAAGAGCCAGAGCTTGGAAAAGCTTCCGAAACAATATGGATGTCAAATAGGCGCGCAGTGCATTGTGGTTGACTTGGATTCATGGACTTAGATGCTTAAACTGGCAAAACTTTCAAATTTACACAGGACTTTATTCATAACAACTTCGCCGAAATCCACGTTAATAGTTCCAATAATAAACTGAGAATGCTAAGACTAAGATTTCCGAATCCAAGCCTCTCGGGCTACCTGTGGTTAGTAGTTACCAGATTGCCACGGTATTCATTAAACGCGTTTATGAACTACTGGTACTGGTTGGTATTTTGCCCGCCAACTTTAATTCCAATATGGCGGACGAGTAGCTTTGTACCAGCGAACATTCGTCTTCTTATACCAGTGTATCACGATGTTCAAGCCTGATTGTCTGGAAGTTTTCTCTCCCTTTGGAAGAACGTTTCTCCAGCATCATCCGTTCGGTGCGGAGAATTTACAGATAGAAAAAACTGAAGGAATACGTAACAGTGAAACATTGACAAGCAAGGTAAGCTTACAAAAATCAATGTGTTTTACTGATTTGAGTTGAAATTTCTGTCATTAGAAATGACATTATTTGATTCAAAGTTAAAGTCACTTGAAGTTTTCTTTCATTATTACCATGATATCGCTTTATGTCGAAAAAGACAACCAGCTTGTCTCGATCCCGGGAGATATCGGCTGCCATCAATGGCAAATACATCTAGTCTAATTTTCTCCAAACGAGATACATCGTTGATATTTATAGCACTACGATTTGCCATATTCATTTCTATGGAATAAATTTAGCCAGCTACATTGACGGTATCTTGTTTTAGTTATGTGTTTGATTAAAGGGTTATTCTTAATTCTTTATAGTCCATGATCACATTGACTAATCTGGTAGATGTTATCTCCCCCCCATGGACCCTTGTGGGTGAAAATGTGCAATAGTTCACCATAGATTACCATATTTTGTTATCCTCTCCATTGTACACAAGGACCATAGAGTGGCAATAGAGAGCAATAGCCCCTCCCTCCCCCCTTTCACACTTTTTTCATTTTGTGATTATTCTCTAATATTTTCCAATCTTTCCAGCTCCCCCTCCCCACTTCTTTAGGGTGATCTACACAACCCAATGTGTGATATAGTCAATACCTCACACATCAGATCTGCATGCGCCTTCATCTTTATTACTGTAACGTTGTTTATTTAAGACTGAGAAGGGGATTATCAGAAGCGTGGATGGTGATGTACCATGTAATGAAGAGGTAGGTCCAACATGATTTATAGGCTTTGATAATACTTATAGGTTTTGTCAATTTTCATTTTTGATGAATAAATAATCAAGCTTGCGGATGTGCATCCTTTTCCCAAGGAATAAAAAGACAAAAATTCATGATGTATGTTAGTTGATGGAAGAAAATTCAACCATAATGGTATCTACTGTGCAGTTGTATAATGTCACATGCACCAATTAAATAGCAAAGCCTGTAATAATCCTACACTGGATAAAGGAATTACATGTATTTCATTTTTGTTTTCATTCATACACAGCTTTATATTAATGGACAAACTGTGGTGTGGAGCAAAGGATGTTCACCTGAGACTAGAACAGTAATTAAGTCATTCACTCTAGATTCAGATGTTATTGACTGCTTCTGGTGTAAGTTTACCCTACCTGCTCCTGAACAAGGAATCTGTAAAGTTGAAGGTATGATGATTTGCGAGTTATTAAATGAATTGATGGTCAATAGTTCATTGTAAAGCACACTGTATTTATATCCACTTTAATGGTGCCCAGACAACAAGTGTAAAGTACAAGATGTCTGGGTTTCAGGTCCATGTTAATCTTGGGTATTTTGATTTGAAAAAGAAAAAAACCTATATATAGCTTCAAGCAAGCAAGTTAGCACTGGACATGCTTGACCTGCCTTTTGTCACAATGTGGAATATGGAAAAAACTTATGTTCACTCAATATTGCAAAACCAGAATTAGGGCTTACAAGTATAATGATGCCAGGGTCAGAAATAATGATTGAAAAGTTAATCCAAACATAGGAAAGGATGATCACCATCTGACACACACATACACTGTAGCTGCAACCATCTTGCTTCAGCAGTTTTACCTGACAGAAATAACGTGGGCACATAGCATAGTGGTTGCAGTATTTGAAAGAAGCTTTTGTCCATCCAAACCAACTGCATGTTAGGTCAACCCTTGCACCTTGCATAAAATGAGCATTATGATAATAATTAATTGTGTACTTTATGATAGTGGAAATGTTTTGATTATTTTGCTGATCATCTGTTGAGCCGCTGGCCAATCATTGATGGTGTCAACCAACTGTTGACCAATTATCAGCCAACAGTCAGCTTATGCTTTTGTAATGGGAGAATATCATGAATTCTTAAACATAAATTATAATATTTCTCATGCCTTTTACTAAAACATCCTTTGATGATGGGAATCATCTTGTAAGTGAAACAATTCTGCTTTTATTTGAAACAAACTTTTGTGCGAGCAAAAAGTGTTCCCGATTAGTGCAAAAGCACTAGAACGACTACACACTTAAAATAAAAGATTTTTATTTTATTTTTATTTTCATTTTTATTTTTTAACAACTACTAACATTAACAATTTTGGGCAGGGAAAACCTGATTATTATTTTTGTATGTTGTGTTTTTCAGAATCACATAACACTTTGTGTGTTCTAGAAAATGAATTCCTTAATGTGTTTTCTACTGATGGTGGAGTACACACAGCTGCCTTGCCCTTTCCTGTGAGTATCAATAATCTTCACTACAGTGTAGAGTATATATTATTGTATATATATATTATTATCTGTAGGCATAAATTCATGCTCCAGTGCTTTGAGGGTTTTCTGAAAAATAATCAACAAAATATCAACTAGTTCAAATTAGGTTCTCCGTATTTCACAGCTGTAAGTTAACATTTAATAAATTGTGTACATTTACAATGCTTCATAGAATTCAGCAGGTGAAGCAATCCAGGTTGAATATGATCGAGCAATTCTTGCCTAACTGCCAGAATAGAGTGCCCCCACTATATGCCTAGAGTGAAGTACTTTGAATTATTGTGTTTCTGTAATACAGGTGTAGTTCTCTAAACATACCATGCATAGCAAGGTACTGATATTATGTATGTCACCATGATTGCAGGTTAATAACACCTGGGTTGTTCCTGGAGGACTACTGCTAGAAAGGACTGTTATGCCATCAGAACTGACAGCTCACAAAAGGTACGTATAACAGCATTCCATGAAAAGGGTTTGTGGGGTCATTAGAAAGAACCTTGCAAACCTAAGAAGCCTGGCCTTAATAGCCTAACACTGTAACACAGTGTGGTTTAAATGCACTCAAGGGAGATTGATGAACTTTATTAATCACTCCTCCCAACAAGGCCTTTATTGTCAGCTTTTCAGTATATTTTGACTTTTGACTCGTGCATCTCAAAAAAGATAGATTGGCCAACATTTGACCAACATATCACCAATATGCTGAGTCATTCACCAACACTCCACTAGCAGTTGGCCATGCATTGGCCCAGAGCAAGACTCAAAAAAGCCCTAAAAATATTTACAGTGTCAGCTGATAATTGGCCAGAAGTCAGCTGATTGTCAAGCTATAGTCAGCCACTGCATGCTTATCATTGGTCAACCCTTTGGCTAACTAGTCCTAAGTTCGATACTACCCTAAGATTTTTAACACATTCAATAATAATTGTCTCTCACCAGAGAAGTACCAACTTTATTTAGTCTTATGCACCCATTGGATGAACCCAGACCAGTAGCATCACTGGCTCAAGGTATGCACAATATTATTGAGACATTCAGGCTATAATCTGCACAGTATTAGAGGCAGATAGAGAGTGGGGTATACAGTGTATATGCTTACACTGATATGGTATCAGTAAGGGACATTTACTTTAAACCATGGTGTTTTTGAAGAATCACTTTATGGAATGAACCCATGTAAGTTTAGTGAAGTTCTCTCTTGTCATGATAGTTTATTTCTTTTATGTTCTCCTTCATAAAAAAAACTTTTTATGTAGGCAGTAAATAACTGCTACCGCATTCTGCCAGACCAGTGTTGATCAATTAACTGATTTAAACCGATTGCATAAATAATAAAAAGTGCAACTCCCAAATTGGTGTCAGTCTAAGTATGTCAATGGGTTATTGACCATCCTACATGTACACCTAAATTAGATTTTTCGTTTAAACACTTAAAATCTTACATTCTATATAATCTTACTATAAAATCTTACTACATTCTATAAAAAAATCTTACTATTGCTTTCTTTATTTTTCTTTTTTTAGGAAAAAGAGCCTTCATTTGTGACCCTACTTTGAATGTGATCTACACTGCTGAAGATAGTAACTTTATTATGATGTATGACTCAGTGATGGGCCTGCATTCAACATGGCTTCTTAATAAAGCACTACCAGAGGTGCAGTACTTGTAATCTTGAAATCATGATTCAATCATGGGTCTTTATTAGCTAGAATGGAGTTCATCAATATCATTCTATGTATGGTTCCATTAGATTACTGAGCTAATTATAACTTTCCTCATGATTGGTTGGTCGCAGTCATGCGTTTTTGTCTTGGCTGTCTTATTAGTCTTGAAGTTATGAAACAGTTTTTCATGCACTTGCCATTGTTACCCTCCATTCTAGAATATGAAAAAGCACCAACTGAGTATTCTAGCAAGAACAATTACAGCAAGGATGACTGTGCACACATGAAAAACCATTCAAAACATGCTTGCATCATCGTCTGCCATCACCATCCTTGCTCCTGTTGTGGATCTTATATAAGGTCCCTTACGAAGCGATAAGAAGTACAATTATTATTTTAGGACTGCCATTTTACCCACTCTTCCCTGCCAATAGAAACTATGACCAGAATAACACCTTTTCCTCAGAACTTGACTGAGCAAAAATTATCATAAAGCTGGTAGAAACCAATCCTGAAAAGTGTATGAGAGTACCTTTTCCATTAAACTCAGTGACGTAGATAGTTGACTTTGCTACTTGTAATCCTCAGGACATACCTGAATCACCATTCACACCACATGGAGTTGATTTCTCATCAGGAGCTATTGGCCACAACCCTACCCCTGTTATGTTAGCAGTTGCACACTCTCGATTGTCTTTAGCCACACCTCCTCACTCGCCATTCAAGCAGTACACATCTTCTCCTGCCATGCGTTCACATATGCACTCTCCTGCACCCATCAAGCTTATGTCCCCAGCACTAGGTCAGATTTCTACAAGCCAGTCTCGTTCTCCTTTTCTTGGTGAGTAATATAGCTCTAATCATTAATGATCCTTTTTTACAGTAAGTAAACGAAATTTATTAATCCTAGCACGTGGATACTGATTTCCAACAGCATATTAACCTTGGTGAAAACAAAAAAATTGAAATAAAAATATTCCACATTCAAGTGTCAAAATTGAAGTTTATTTTTTTTATGATTTCTGCCTTGCCCACCCACTTTCATTTTTTTATTTCAACATTGACAAAAGCAAAAATTTTGAAACCATTTCCCATGTACAAAGCCACATGTACATGCAGAAAAAAAGGATGTTTCAAGAAGCATGCAACAAATAATACATTTTTCTGGTATTATCATTTTGTGTAAAACTAAATCTCTGTTCTAGAACATGCCATCTACGTGTGTAACATTACTAATTTCCAGCTAGTTATAGAGGGTATTTAGGTTGAGTTACCTTTAGGTAATAATTGTAGTACATATTATGATACATGTAATCCATTATTATATACTTAATTGTATAAAATGCCTAACATACCTATAATGTATAAAGACCTGTCTACAGTTATGTTTGTATTCAATCGCAAGATATTCAAAATGACTGACATGGAGTTAATGTTCTACAGAATCCCCCTTCATGATTGGCTGCAGGTCACCTTCAGTGTTCCGTTCTCCACCTGGAGGTCATTCAAGGGATGAGTCATTTGTAGACTACTTTGAACCTCTCACTCCAGAAGTGTGTCTTAAACAAATATGGCAAGAAACCCCCATGCCAATCAGGTATGAATTTTAGCTGCAGTTTGAAATATTATGTAAGCTCACTAGATTTATGCTGAGTTTATGTGTAATAATATACTGTAGACACCAAGGAGACTGTAGCAAGACTTTACACTCACTAGATTTATGCTGAGTTTATGTGTAATAATATACTGTAGACACCAAGGAGACTGTAGCAAGACTTTACACAGTCACATGTTGGAGATTTCTCTCCAATTAGTATTAAGTGCTACTAACAGTACTGTAAATCCATATCTTAAAATAATGCTATTCAGAATAAAGAAATGTTTGAATATTTCCAGGCATGGAGCAAAAGGCAAAGCAAGCAAAGTAATCCAAACTACAGATATCAGTGGGAACACTTTTCTTTGTTATTTGATAGGACACACCAACAAACTCAGGTGAAAAGATGTATTAGAAATATTTGCTTTCATTAGCAAGGTGACTAACATTTGATACTATCAACCAAACATATTAGGGGGTTTGAGGGCATGCTCGCTGAGAAATTTTCAAATTGAGACCCTTGGAAATGTGATTTCCAGTGTTTTGAGGGGCATCTGCAAGAACATAAATTTATGTGACCCTCCCTTTTTTCAATGTCTGTTTTTTTTTATGATGCTCCCTTTTTCACAGGGTGTTTGTGATTATCATTATTGATTATCACCACCACTACCACCACCAC